ATATATATTTGTATTGTTATTTTAACATTTGACTTGAGTGCGCCCCCTAGATTATTCCAAAAGTTATTTCTCAGTGATATATCATCTGATCTGAACCAGATTTTGGGTGTGTCATTAGTGAACACTTATAGACACATTGGTTTTGTTTTTTAACATTTGACTCAAGTGCGCCCCCTAGATTATTCCAACAAGTATATCTCAGTGATGCATCATCTGATCGGAACCAGATTTTTTGTGCATAATCAATGAGCACGTCTAGACACATTGATATTGTGTTTTAACATATGACTCAACTGCGCCCCCTAGATTATTTAATCAGTTATATCTCAGTGATATATCATCCAATCTAGGCCAGATTTTTGGTGCATCATTGGTGTCCACTTCTAGATACTCTGGTATTGTTTAACGTTTGACTCCAGTATGCCCCCTAGATTATTCCAACAGTCATATCTCAGTGAAATATCATCCAATATGTATCAGATTTATTGTACATGATCAGTCAGCACTTATAGACACATTGATATTATTATTTAACATTTGACTCAAGTGCACCCCCTTCATTATTCCAACAGTTATATCTCAGTGATACATCATCTGATCGGAAACAGATTTTTTGTGCATGATCAGTGACCAAGTCTAGACACATTGATATTGTGGTTTAACATATGACTCAAGTGCGCACCCTACATTATTCCATCAGTTATATCTCAGTGATACATGATCTGATCTAAACCAGATTTTTTTATGCTTCATCAGTGAGCATTTGTAGACACACTGATATTGTTGATTTATGACTTGACTTAAGCACGGCCCACTCGGAGAAGAAACTGATGATTATTGGGTGACTCTTTCAGCTTGGCACTGCATAAGATATAATTCTGAAACCGTATTTGCTAACTGTTCATTGCCACATATGACATGTTCAAAAGTCCTTTGCATTTGCATCAAAACAGGAAGTGACAATAAGTCCTATCTGGAAGGTCGGATTTTAGCCAAACTTGTAAGGCTTGTAGCCGGACTCATACTGATATGGGTGGAAGGTGATTGCAAAAATTCAGCATATGCGCACCCTGGTGGACGCGTGCGGGAATGGTATGAGAGCATTCGCAATGGCGACTGGGAGGCGTTGCTGGAGCTCCCGCGGTCGCAGGTGATGTCGAAGGTTCAGCGAATGCACAACCTGTTGAATGAGCAGGGGACGGGTGCAAGAGCGTTCGCAATGGTGACTGGGCGGAGTTGCTGGAGCTCCCGCGGTCGTCGTAAGGCTTGAGTGACGCTTTGCTGCAAGGGCCTTCAATGCTGCTTGCAGCTTTAATTGCCTCTTATAACTCTTCCATCCCTCTCAATCTTGTATTTGTATAAAGCTCATATTTGTAATAAATTTTGCCCCTGGTTCATGATTATTAAACGAAAGCATGTTAATTTCTGTCTGTTCTTTTTTTCCTCAGGCATATGATGGCTTTGCAAGTTTGGGGATCTCTCGTCTCCTGGAACCATCTGATATGGTGTTGCTGGCCATTCCTGACAAGCTGACAGTAATGACGTACTTGTACCAGATCCGGGCTCACTTTTCTGGTCAGGAGCTCAACGTGGTGCAAATAGAGGTCAACAGCAATCGTAGCACCTACAAAGTGGGTGACTTTGAAACTGATACAAATGCCTCCATTGGCCAGGACAAGTTCTATGCTGAACTGAACGATGTGCAGCACTGTCAACCTGACTTTCAGTCTGCTTCTTCTGGTTTTCCCACTGAATCCAATGGGGCAGAAGTTGCTGAAGAGGAGATGATGGCACACCAGGCTGGAGTAGATTTGACCAGCTCTTCAGTACCAGGGTCTTTGCAGTCCTCAACTCCTGTCCCTTTGCCGCGGACAGTATTAGCAACCACAGCTGCAAACTCAACCCACATGGTAACACCAGGCTCTGAGGATAGAGGGATTCTACTGAAAGCAAACACATTGGATTCATGTGAAATACCACAAAGAGAGAAGAAAGAGGTGAAGAAGGAAACTCTACTGGATGAGGAGGTTGGAGAGGATAGAGAGAAAAGAAACAATGAATCATCTTCTCTAACAAGGAGAGAGAACTCATCACCTCACCAGAAACTAGGCTTCTCCTATAACAGGGATGCTGACCTCATTAAAAAGAAAAGGGCCAGCCTGCGTCACTCAGAGTCCGAGCTGACCTCTAACACCAGATCCCCTTCAGTCAGTCACACAGATTTCTCTGTTAAACAGGTAAATACTCACAAAGTTCTACTTTATCTTTTTTCCTTTTTTAATAAACAAGGCAGGGATTTGGGGACCCAAGGCAGACAGGTCCTAGGTGAGGGACCAGACAAAGTGCAACCGAAAGACCCCTTATGATGAATCAAACAAATGGAAACAATGTTCTTTCACCCAGATGTGGGTCACCGGGGCCCCACTCTGGAGCCAGGCCTGGAGGTCAGGCGTACTAGCAAGCGTCTGATGGTAGAGATTTTACCCATGGAGCCCAACCGGTTCCCCCTTCCCATGGCCTCACCATCTGTGAGAGGAGCCAAAGGGGTTGGGTGCAATGTAGGATTGGTGGTAGCCGAGGGCGGGGACCTTGACGTTCTGATACTCAGCTACAGAAGCTTGCTACTGGGATGTGGTGGGACCTTGACAGTCTGATACTCAGCTACAGAAGTTGGCTAATGGGACATGGTCTCTGGTGGGGAAGGAGCCTGAGCTGGTGTGTGAGGTTAAGAAGTTCTGGCTAGAAATAGTCAGACTCACCTTGACGCATGGCTCTGGCTCTGGAACCAATTTCCTTAAGAGGGGTTGGACTCTCTTCCACTCTGGAGTTGCCCCTGGTGAGAGGCACTAAGCAGGAGAGAGCATACTTGTTGCCCCTCTTCTTGGTGCCTGTACGTTGGGGTTCACCCAGGTGAACGAGAGGGTAGCCTCCCTTTGCCTATGTGTGGGGGGACAGGTTCTGACTGTTTGTGCTTATGCACCAAACAGCAGTTCAGATTACCCACCCTTTTTGGAGTCCTTGGAGGGGGTACTGGAGAGTACGCCTCCTGGGGATCCCCTTGTTCTGCTGGGGGACTTCAACACTCATGTGGACAATGACAGTGAGACCTGGAGGGGTGTGGTTGGGAGGATAGGCCCCCCTGATCTGAACCCGAGTGGTGTTCTGTTGTTGGAGTTCTGTGCTCGTCATGGATTGTCCATAACGAACACCATACTCAAGCACAAGGGTGGCCATATGTACTCTTGGCATCAGGACACCATAGGCTGCAGTTAGATGATCGACTTTATTGTTGTCTCATCTGATCCACGGCTGCAGGTCTTGGACACTCGGATGAAGAGAGGGGCGGAGCTGTCCACTGATCACTACCTGGTGGTGAGTTGGCTCTGATGGTGGGGGAGGATGCCGGTCAGACCTGGCAGTCCCAAATGTATTTTGAGGGTCTGCTGGGAATGTCTGGCAGAGTCTCCCGTGAGACGGAGCTTTAACTCCTACCTCCAGGAGAACTTCGAACACGTTCCTGGGAAGGTGGGTGACATTGAGACCGAGTGGACCATGTTCCGCGCCTCTATTGTCGAGGTGGCTTACCGGAGCTGTGGCTAAAAAGTTTTCAGTGCCTGTCGTGAAAGCAACCCACAAACTCGGTGGTGGACACCGTCGGTGAGGGAAGCTGTCAGGCTGAAGAAGGAGTCCTTTCGGGCCTTTTTTGCCTGTGAAACCCCAGAAGCAGCTGATGGGTACTGGCAGTCGAAGCGGCATGCTGCTCGGGTGGTCGCTGAGGCAAAATCTCAGATGTGGGAGGAGTTTGGAGAGGCCATGAAGAATGACTTCCGTACGGCTTCGAGGCAATTCTGGTCCACCATCCGGCATCTCAGTGGGGAAGCGGTATACTACCAACTCTGTTTATAGTGGAGGTGGTGTGCTGCTGACCTCAACTAGGGATGTTGTGTGTCAATGAGCAGAGTACTTCAAAGACCTCCTCAATCCCACTTGCACGTCTTCCACTGAGGAAGCGGATCCTGGGGATTTTGGGTCAGGCTCTCCAATCTTTGGTGCTGAGATCACTGAGGTGGTTAAAAAGCTCCTCGGTGGCAGGGCCCCAGGGGTGGATGAGATTCACCCAATGTTCCTTAAGGCTTTGGATGTTGTGTTTGCTTACACGGCTCTACAATATTGTGTGGCCATCAGGGGTAGTTCCCCTGGATTGGCAGACTGAGGTGGTGGTCCACCTATTCAAAAAGGGGGACTGTAGAGTGTGTTCCAACTACTGGGGGATCACACTCTTAAGTCTCCCTGGTAAGGTCTATTCAGGGGTTCTGGAGAGGAGGGTCCACCGAATAGTCGAACCTCAGGTTCAGGAGGAGCAATGTGGTTTTTGTCCTGGTCGTGGAACACTGGACCAGCTCTACACCCTCAGCAGGGTCCTGGAGGGTGCGTGGGAGTTTACCCAACCAGTCTACATGTTCTTTGTGGACTTTGAGAAGGCCTTCAACCGTGTCCCTCGGGTAACGCTGTGGGGGGTACTCCAGGAGTAGGGGGTACCAGGCCCTTTGATACGGGCTGTTAGGTCCCTGTATGACCGGTATCAAAGCTTGGTCTGCATTGCCGGCAGTAAGTCGGGCTTGTGCCCGGTGAAAGTTGGACTCCGCTAAGTTGCCCTTTGTCATCGATTCTGTTCATAACTTTTATGGACAGAATTTCTAGACGCAGCCAAGGTGTCGAGGGGATCCATTTTGGTAGCCTTAGGATTGCGTTTCTGCTTTTTGCAGATGATGTGGTCCTATTGGCTTCATCAGGTTGTGATCTACAGCTTTCGCCTGAGAAATTTGCAGCCGAGTGTAACGCAGCCGGGATGAGGATCAATTCCTCCAAATCCGAGGACATGGTTTTGAGCCGGAAAAGGGTAGAGTGCCCTCTCTGGATTGGGGAGGAGGTCCTTCTCCAAGTGGAGGAGTTTAAATATCATGAGGTCTTGTTCATGAATGAGGGAAAAATGGAGCAAGAGATCGATAGGCGGATAGGTGCGGCATCTGCAGTGAAGCGGGTGCTGTACCAGTCTGTTGTGGTGAAGAGAGTGCTGAGTCAAAAGGCGACGCTCTCAGTTTACCGGTCGATCTACATTCCTACCCTCATCTATGGTCATGAGCTTTGGGTTGTGACCGAAAGAATGAGATATCAGATACAAGTGGTCAAAATGAGTTTTCTCCACAGGGTATCTGGACTCTCCCTTAGAGATAGGGTGAGAAGCTCGGTCTTCAGGGAAGGACTCAGAGTAGAACAGCTGCTTCTCCACGCCGAGAATAGCCAGTTGAGGTGGCTTGGGCATCAGGCCAGGATGCCTCCTGGACGCCTGCCTGACGAGGTGTTCTGGACCCATCCCACCGGGAGGAGACCCAGGGGAAGATCCAGGACACGCTGGAGGGACTATGTTTCTCGGCTGGCCTGGAAACACCTTAGGATTCTCCCCGGAGTAACTGGCCCAAGTGTCTGGGGAGAGGGAAGTCTGGGCCTCCCTTCTTAAGCTACTACCCCCGCGACTCGACCCCAGATAAGCAGAAGAAAATGGATAGATAGATGGATGACAGGGAGTTGTTGATGACATTTTCTCATTCTCTAACATTGTTTACTCAAAAGAACCACATCTTATGGCAGGTGAAGATTTTTAACCAGCAGTTTTCTTGCAAAGGTAGATTTCAGGACAGGTTACTTTCATAAACAAACGTGCATGAAGACCAGTCACAGAAATGAGCCACAAGCAGCGTTATCTGCTCCCTTTTATAAAATTCTCATCTCAGCAGAGTTCAGTGGGTGTCTTTGAAGCCAGCTGTAGCCTCCTTACACAACACTCTTTGCTTGCACAGACATATACAGTAGTTCATGGGCATTAAAGAGATATCCTTCAGTTTGAGATAAGGAGTGTTTTGAGAGATGGTTCTGCTGTTTTGGGAAACATCCGAGCCCCTTGTTTTCTAGCCTTGATTAAAGCACAGTAAAATATAAAAATATTAAAAACTTTTATTCCTTCAAGGAATGTGTATCACTGAGGTTGATAAACATTGCCGGTCATCTTGAATCTAGTTGACTTTAAAAGTCTATAGGTTGTAATGTATATCACATGATTATTTTCTAAGATTCGAAAAAAATGGTCCACTGGTTTATAAGATGTTTTACTAATAGACATGGTTCTCTTCAATTGTAATGCCAAGTTTTAAACGTAGATCTTGCATGATCTTTTACTGCTCAAAAATATTTATCAGAGATAACTCTCAGCTACTACCACACTTAATTGTAGGTTAATGCTTATAAAACACACGAAGACACAAGGAATTAAGACAGCGGGCAACGATTAATTCAATTCAGTTTATTTGTATAGCGCCAAATCACAACAAAGTTGTCTCAGAGCACTTTACAGGAACATTCACATACATAAAAGCCAATTAGTAAAGTTCTGTATCTAAGGAATCCAGCAGACAAGTTGAATCTTGGCTTCGTTGCAGTCTCCCATCCTGAGCAAGCACATTGGCAACAGTGGAAAGGAAAAACTCCCTTTTAAAAGGGAGAAACCTCCAGCAGAACCAGGCTCAGGACAAGCAGCCATCTGCTTTGACCGGCTGGTTGAGAGGACAGAAAGGAGAGACAGACGAACGTAGAATGGTAGGTCCAGGTATAGGTCCAGGTCTATCTGAAAGACAAAAAACACATGTTAAGGATAGAAAAAATAATTTCAAATACAAAACAGGTTGAGCAGAGACAGTAGTAGAGTGACAATTGTGGTCAGTTTGTCCTCCAGCAGTCTAAGCCTATAGCAGCATAACTAAGGGACAGCTCAGGAAACCCAAGCTGACCCTAACTATAGGATTTAGCAAACAGTAAAGTCTTAAGCCTAGTTTTAAAACTGGATAATGTGTCAGCCTCACGGACAGAGCTTGGAAGTTGGTTCCACAAGAGAGGAGCCTGATAACTGAAAGATCTGCCTCCCATTCTGTTTTTGTAAATTCTAGGAACCACAAGTAAACCTGCAGTCTGAGAGCCAAGTGCTCTGTTAGGAAATATGGAACAATAAGATCTGTAATATAAGATGTAGCCAGGTTGTTGAGAGCTTTGTAAGTTAGAAGTAAGATTTTGAATTCTATTCTAGATTTGACAGGGAGCCAATGGAGAGAAGCTAAAACTGGAGAGATATGATCTCTCCTACTAACTCCAGTTAAGACTCTGGCAGCAGGATTTCAGATCAAGTGAAGACGTTTTAAAGAAGTATTTGCACATCCAGATAATAAACCATTGCAATAGTCCAGTCTAGACGTGACAAATGCATGAACCAGTTTTTCTGCATCATTTTTAGATAAGATGTTTCTAATTTTAGTGATATTACACAGGTGGAAGAAGGCAGTTCTAGTAACGTTTTTAATGTGGGGGATAAAAGACATATCCTGATCAAAAATAACACCAAGATTTTTAACATTAGAGCTGGAGGACAGATTAATGCCATCTAAGGAGGGAGAAAGACTGAAAAATTCATTCCTATGGTGCTCAGGTCCCAAAACTAAAACCTCAGTTTTGTCTGTGTTCATCAGGAGAAAATTAAGGGTCATCCAGGTTTTTATGTCTTTAAGACATGTTTGTAGTCTAAGTAGCTAATTGGATTCATTGGGTTTAATGAACAAATATAATTGTGTGTCATCAGCATAACAATGGAAATTTAGCCCATGCTGTGTAAATAACTTTACCTAATGGAAGCATATATAAAGTAAAGAGTATTGGACCAAGCACTGAGCCCTGAGGAACTCCATGACAAACTTTGGTGTACGAAGAAGATTTATTATTTACATTTACAAACTGGAATCTATCAGATAGATATGATTTAAACCATTTAAGAGCTGTTCCTGTAATCCCAATATCATATTCAAGCCTCTTTAGTAAAATATTGTGATCAACTGTATCAAATGCAGCACTGAGGTCTAACAGGACCAGTATAGACACAATTCCATTGTCTGAGACCATGAGAATATCATTAGTGACTTTTACTAGTGCTGTTTCTGTGCTATGATAAGCTCTAAACAATTAGAACTCTTGTACCAGAAAACCTGAAAACCAGTCTTTTTCATTCAACCTTTATTTATACAGGTTAATCCCATTGAGCATCGGGAACTCATTTACAAGAGAGACATGATTTTAACAAAGAGTGATGACAACAGTGGACAACAAAGACAACAGTAGACAATAATAAAAAGCATACAAATTTGGAATAACAAATAAAAGAAAATGGTATTTAAAGAAATGTGCTATTTATGTATCATAAACAAATTTTTGCTCTTTAAGTCGGGTATTAAGATTCTGGCAGCGTTTACCTTCAGGTATCTAGTTTGGCTTCCGTGTGGATTGTTCATGTTTTTATCCTTTCACCCAAGATTTGATTGAAATTTTCTCAGAGCCGTCAGTCATAAGACAGAGGATGCCTCGAACATTCATTACCTCCTGGCACTCGCTAAGCTTCAAATCCCAACCTTGTTGATACAAATGCAGAGATGACCGTACTGAAATTCTTCCCTTCTGCATTAGATGTTGTCGTCACCTGTATGACTGCCTAGAACCCGACACATCCTGGTCCTGAACATGTGGCGACTACTGAAGGCGCCTAACAGAAACACCTTCTTTGACATTTCATTATATTTTTCATTATATTTCTCATCCTTGCAGTTGATGACAGTTGGAACCGTGACTGCTCAGGCGTGGCGATGCTTTGCGCAGAGCCGACATCATCTCTACTTGCACACCGACACACACCCGTATGCACGCGTGCACTCACTCATGCACACAAATGTGCTCAGTGCAGTTGGTGAACCCCAGTTTACAGCTTCTTGTTTACAAGCTGAAAGGTCATGGGTCAAGCAGTGGGGCCAGCAAGTGCCGGGGGGTGGGGGGTGGGGGGCGTTGTGATGGCAGTCATGTCACCCATTTTCTGATTTGCTGTTATCTAGTTAATTGGGTGCATTTTTACCTGAATCCAAGTCTGATTGAAATTGTTGACATGATCAATGCAAGAACTTTGTTCTGTCTGTGCCTGCCTAACATGAAATGTTGAACCAGTTGAGCGTTTTGTTTTTGTAAGCTGTTCTTCTCTTTCTAATAATGCTTATGTTTAAATCATCAGGAATGTATTTTACACTTGTTTTACTCCTTTCTACCATTTCTTGTTGACATTACCAGAATTGTGTCAACTGTTTGGGTTTAAATTCACAGCAATAATGATAAAGAAGTACCTTTAAAATATGACTTGTAACTTTCTACTATACAATTAAGCACCTTTTGTTGTGATTTGTTTATCTTTTTAAAGGATCCATCACCTGCTTCTGCATCAAGTCCTCCAGCTGAAAAAGTGAGTAAACTTTTGTAGAGAATTGAACTGCAAAAAGTGAAATTATGCACATCAAGAAAGAATATTAGATGCATTTACGTGTACAAAGTTTACACAATTTTTGTTGCAGTTTCATTAGTGAAGTGAAACCTACGCAATTTTTGTTAATACCATATTTTCTGCCATACACGTCATACCGCCCTATAAGTCGCATCTGTCCAAATTTGTCTAAAAAAGTGGAAAAAATCCATAAATATGTTGATTCGCAGTTTTGTCGCTGTGTTGACGCGTTGCGTTTGTTACATGTCACCGCTGACAACCCGGAAATGTGGGCTGAACCCGGAAATGTGGGCCGGTGTTATGCCAAAAATCTTTGGGCTGCCAAATGGCGGCTGCGGGAGCGTGCACAGATGGACTTTAACAAGAATTTAACTAGATTTACACTTAAAAACAATTATATGTTTCCTCAAAATTGTAGTAGAGGTGTATCTTAGTCTACCTTTGGCTTAATAAATGCACTTTGATGGTCAAAACGGTCAAATGCAGGCACGCGCAGAGGGACGAGCCTCCGCATTTCTTCAAAATTTAACAAGATAAACACCTAAAAACAATTATTTGTTTGCTCGACATTATACTAAAGTTGTGTCTCAGTCTAACTTTTGCTTAATAAATGCACTTTGACAGTCAAATCAGCTGCATTTTCAAAAGCTGATATGCGGACCCATGTGCAGAGGGCGACTTGCTGTCCATTTATTTGAAATTTAACAAGATAAGCACCTAAAACAATTATTTGTTAGCTTGACTTTATAGTAAATGTGTGTTTCAGTTGAACTTTTACATAATAAATGCACTTTGACGATCAAATCAGCTGCATTTTCAAAAGCCGATATGCAGAAACATGACCACGCAGAAGGAGGACTCGCTGTCCATTCATTCTAATAAATTCACTTTGACGGTCAAAGCAGCTACATTTTGCCGGGGTGGCGCAGTGAATTGAAGCTAATTTGGTAGCTCCAGGCAAACGACGGGGGCAGGTTATGGCAAGCAGATTTTGTCAATCATAGCCACTTTTACCTATTAATTCAATTCATTTTATTTATATAGCACTAAGTCACAACAGAAGTTGCCTCAGGACACTGAACAGGAAAATTAATATATAAAATAAGTTAACAGAAACATTCATATTTAAAAATAATAATTTAACATTATTTATCTGAGGAGCAGACAGCTTTGAGTTTAACTCCATTACTTGACGCAACGACATGCCTTACTACTCTGCTGCCATCTAGTGGCTGAAAATGGTACTGTTCAATTTTTTTTCTGTCAGAATGAATGAAAACGGTCATATTATTGAAAAATCCATAAATAAATTGCTTCGGACTATAAGTCGCAGGGCGTGCAAATTATGCAATAAAACCACAACTTATACAGCGAAAAACACGGTACAGCCATTGTGAGATCACACTTTGTTTCTTCTTGTAGAAAGTTCTTTCTCGTCAGGAGGAGTTGAAGGAGAGAGCCCGGCTCCTCCTGGAGCAGGCCCGCCGAGATGCTGCAGTGAAAGCGGGCAGCAAGAACGTCTCCAACTCTATAGCTGCACCAAACAGGACTTCAGGCATCTCTGATGTAAGTCTGCTGGGTGTCAGAGAATCTTATCAGGCTCTTGTAAGAGCCAGTCAAATTCTTCAAATACTGAAAAGATTTTCTAATTTTCTAATTGTCTTTTTTTAGCAAATAAAATATTTTGCTGTCAGTCATGAAAAGAAATAGGGAAATTGTTGTTTTTTTTTACATTTATTTGCAACATTAACCTTTAAATCATGCTTCAATCAATCATCAATGCTTGAATGTTTTATACCATCAGTTTTTGTTGGGTTTATACCTTGATAATACATATATATTTTTACTATGTTGTACAAGGCAGTTGGTTTAAAACAAGCTAACTTAAACATAAAGTAAAGTGCTATGTATGTGTTGTCATTAGGGGTGCACCGATTGCAGTTTTCTGGCCGATCACCAATCACCGATTTCTAAAAAGCCTGACCTACCGATTCCGATTTTGGTCGATACCGATTTTTTTTTATAAGCGACACTGTCAGGTGTTATAAGGTCACAATGCACCTTCAATTTTCCATTATTATTTTGTTGAAAAACATACCCTTGAACAATATCCTAGAAACAATACAACCTTGTTTTAACTGGCCAAGAGGTAGTGCTCTGAAATATAAATGAAGTTTAGACAATTTTTGTTAAAACTAAAAAAAATGGTAAAATCGGTTTCTTATTCAAGTATCGGACGATTTCCGATTTCTCAAAATTAAGGAAATCGGGGCCATTAAATTGGTGCACCCTTAGTTGTCATCATTGTATGTTCCCATACAATGACAAAATTAGTTATCTGTATTTAACCCATCACATGTGAGATACACCGAGGAGGAGCAGTGGGCAGCTTTGTAAGCGCCCGAAGAGCAATTACGGATTACCGGTACGTGACTTGCTCAAAGACACCATGAACCTGCAACTTTCTGGTCCCAAGTCAGCTGCCTACCTCTACACCATCTCTGCCCTTTTTTGTGTCATTTGTCAAAACAACATTTGTCAAAACAAATGATTTTGCTGAGCTTTGCACCTCTCATGGGCGGCTGTGGCTGAGTGGTTAGAGCAGTCGTCCTCCAATGCAAGAGTTGGGGGTTCGAACCCCACAGCGGTCACATGCCGAAGTGTCCCTGGGCAAGACACTGAACCCCTTGTTGCCTCCTATGTGTGCCATCGGTGTATGAATGTGATCTAAAGCACTGATTAGTCTCTTTAGAATGATTTGTTCAATTATCTTTGTAGAGATCTAGTAGAGTGCTGTATGAATGGGTAAATGAGGCACAGATTGTAGTGCAAAGCGCTTTGAGTATCTCAATAAGATAGAAAGGTGCTATATAAGTACAGACCATTTACAACCATTTACATTTGCAACCTGCTGTACTTGTGTCCACTGTTGTGTATCCTACTAGCCCTGAAAATCACAATAACAATAGAGCTGTTATTAAAGTTTATTTATTTATTTTTTTATTACTATTTTGGGAGGGTGTTTTGTTGTTTTTTTTTGCATCTTGCAAAATTTCTCCTGATCCTGTCAACATTAAACCTAACTTTTGTGCTGAAAGGGTGATTTAAAGAGAGGAAATGATAAACAATATCATAGAATAAACAAGCTACAATTATTTTTACGTGAATCAGTCATAATCAGTAGGTTATTTGTATTTTGATGTCATTATTGTCACTGGTACTGCTACCTAGTTTGAGGCAATCCTGGCCAAAGTGGTTCAAAATATCCTGATGCATGCTCAATAATCCAGGTAGAAAAATCCAAAAAAGTTAAATCTGGTCCTCTGGACATTCAAAAAAAAACAAAAAAAAACAAAGCAAAACAACAAAAAAATGTAGAAACGTTTCGTCTCTCATCCGAGAGACTTCCTCAGTCGGAGGTGCTGTATTCAGCCCAGTCTCTCTTTTTTTGTTGTTTTGCTTTGTTTTGTTTTTTTGAATGTCCAGAGAACCAGATTTAACTTTTTTAGATTTTTCTACCTGGATTATTGAGCATGCATCAGGATATGTTTGGCATATTGTTTTTATTGTTTTTGTACAATTAGTGCTTAGCGTATTTTTAGTTAACATTTTTCTTAGTTCATATCTTAGATCTTATTACCGTTTTTCTTTTACATTTTATACTTTTGTTGGATGTAACTGGGACCCTGTGTACACAATTTCCTTCCACCACATGTACCACATGGTGCGTATGACTGTGATTATCTGAGGAGAAGACACTTTGATGTCTCAGAGGGTTTATATCAAAGCTATAAACACTCACGGGAAGCACTTAAATGGTCTTTTTGTTAGAAAATCTGAACACTACTGACCAGTTAAGTTTTAGAAAAATAACAAAATTAAGTCATTATGTATTTAGTTTTTACAATGAAAGTCACAGTTCTGAAATAGCTAAAGTGGGCCCCTCCTTTAGCTCACATTAGCCACTTCTCTAGAAAAAAGCAGCCTGCTTTAATTGAATTAAATTATAACTTATGCATGCTAAATCACAAAGCACCTACTTAGACAGATGGAGAGTAAAATGGGAAAGGCTAATGCCTCTCCAGCTGATAACAGTGACACACACACACGCACGCACACACACACATACACACACACACACACACACACACACACACACACACACACACACACACTCATGCTAATCAAAACAAGACATTGAGTAATCTAATCTGAATCACGAACAATTATCAGCACAGTGGCCTCAAGGCCAGTCGTTTTGCTTTGATCAATGTTTTCTATTAAAAAAAGTGTAAACAATTCAATATCACCCTTCACCCCTCCTCTTTTGATTCCTTTCCCTATGCATACAGTGTGTGTTTGAGGGGGGATATTAACCAATTGTCCTTGGAAATGTGTCAGGAAATCAGGAGGAGACACAGAGTGAAAGGGTGGGTCTGGCTACTTTAAGGAGCTAATCGGACTTAAGTCAGCCATCTTGGTGTACAACAAGGGACAGAGGAGGACGTTTCTTTTTGTCGCTAAGGAAATATATCAGCGCAGCAACAGCTTTGAAAAGTTCTTTTAATTTCTCTCCCTTCCTCTGAAGACTTTTAACGCTTCCAGTCCTTGGAAGGTCCTCATTTATTTTCCCAGATTATTCAGAAACGGTTATTCCTGTGGCTGCCACAGAAAACAAACAAACACACACACGCACACACACACGCACACACACACGCACACACACACACACACACACACACTTCTATAAAAACATCTAATTCAAGGGCATATTTCCTTTTTAAGAATTCTGGCAGCAAATGTGAGGCCAAGCAGCTGCTGCCTTTTAGATATTTTATTACTAAAATGTATTTATTTCATTTTACCCTCAAATCCCTTGTCACAATTCTCACAAGATCGTGGTTTTTGTTTTTTTGTTTTTTTACAGCCTTTTACTTTCTGTGAAATGCAAGAGTTGGGGGTTCGAATCCACCAGCAGTCACATGCTGAAGTGTCCCTGGGCCAGTGGTGGAGAAAGTACTCAAACACTGTACTTAAGTAAAAGTACAA